GGGTGGGGGGTATGCAGTCTTTGAGGTACTCTTAAGCACGTATGATATATCAAAAATAAATGTTTAAACACAATCCAAAAAGGTTTATAAATATATACAAAGCGTACTTAATTAACCAATGTGTACCATAAGAGATTAACATCTCATGGATATACTCACACGTGGCCAAATTAGTCACTGTCATGCTACTATTAATCTTATCTGCAAGGCAAAATTGGATCCTTATCCAATTATTAATAAATAATGTTATGTGGGATCTTCTAAAGGAAGTGTTGATGCATCTACCACTGAGTTATAGTAGCATAGGGAGGATATCACTAAATATGATAGGCCAATATGTAGACTCCACATCCATTTATAGGTTTAAAATAGCCTATCAATAGTGTTAATGCAATATTTATCTTTATTACTTGGCCCCAAATTTAAGCACTCAAAATCAAACTATTCCTTGTTCAACAAATGCATTTGCTAGACCTTCATTGCTTTACTTATTTATGTTGATAGCATAATCATCATTGGATCTTTCATTTCTATCATTAATTCTCTAAAATATCTTCTTGACAACCAACTAAGAAAATCTAGGCATTCTCAAGTCTTAACTACATTATTGGCCTACAAATGGCTCAATCAAGTATTGGTATCATTCTTTCTTGAAAACACATCACTATATAACTCTTTGTGGATATTAATTTTCTTATTAGCAGACTAAAGCACACACCCATGGGCTTTCACTATCAATTTAATGTTTTTAATAGAGACCTTCTCGTTGAATCATGTCAATATTAGAATTTAACAATCGACTTTTATATTTCATATTATCTCAGCCTAGCATCACATTTGCCATCAACAATTTTAGCCATTGTCTAGCTTAGCCAAGAACCAAGCACCTCAACTTTGCACGCCATTCTTTTGTTGCATTAAATTCACACAAAGGAATGTTCGATTTTTTTCCTTTACATCTTCTTAACAACTTAAGGTTTTCTTTGATATATTTGGGGAACAAATTTCATTACCCAAAAATATATCACCAATTTTTACGTTTTCTTCGATAGTTCTTTAATTCTATAGAATGTAAAGAAGCGATAAATCATTTCAAATTCATTCATCAAAGTAGATTGCAATACCTTGGCCACCATGGTAAATGCATTAGCTTGGTAACATAATTAATGTTGGATTTCAATATCCCAATCTCATTGTTACCACTCATGTTCCATGACAATGAAGTTCCATCCAAAATTACATATCCTACTTCTCATAAGAAAATTAAAAGCATCAATATTGTCACTTTGTTAAAGACAATGTCTCAAATGGATTCAATAAACTCATGCCACTATGGTAAAAAATCCATCTCAACAATTTTCTCATCAAACTATTTTAATAACATTCATTAACTTTGCTCCTATCCAAGATGGATGTTCACAACATCCACAGTTCATCTTAATGGGGGAGTATTACAATCATCATTTGTTCACTACAAAAACATCATACTCATCCTCCTACCCTTCATACAAAAGACTGACTACATAAGTCTATATCTTATAGGTGCGTGTTCGATGTTTGCTGAAAATAATAAAATTTCTATTTCCATGATCATTTTTTCTTCTTTTGCCTTAATTCTCTTCTCTCCCATGATAATTCAAATTGACGGGATTTACAGCTATTCTTAAAAACTCCAGTTGTCTATCATATCTAGCAGTATTTAAATAAGAAAACAAAAACCTACAAAGCAAAACAAATCTTTTTATATAAAGCTATTTATGATTAGAGTTTTTAAATTGTACCAAGGTTTCTTAGTAGCTTCAAAATAGTCAATCAATAGATATCTCAAAACTTCTCTCAAAATATTTTCAATAATGTTACAAGAAAACCATATGGCATGTGTTTACTTCAATTATTGCAATTGATACAAAGTACAGTTAAGACCAACTAGATCAATCGATCAATAAGAACTATTAAGATATTATTTTTTAATTTGATGAGCTTCAATTTTAAAATGCTAGCGCTTGGATTATTATTATTATTTTATTTTTTTTAAATTATAGCTTTCCTTGATCATTGAAATCTTCAAGATAGACCTCATTGGTACAGTAACAATTATTATCAATTTGCACGCTGTGGTCCATCCAGATGATCCAAGATTAAACTAAGAATCAATTACTCTATAACATGCACATCAAAAATATGATAATTTTTATTGGGACATTTACAGAGATACCCCCCCAATTCCAATGTATTCACAAATCTAACACCTAAACATTCATTTTTACACTTTTACCACCCAAATCTTTCATATCACATCAAAAATACGCATTTTTATACAAACAATAGGTAAGGTGATATGTAAGTGAAAATTGAAGTTTAGGTGTTAGATATGTAAATACATAAGAATTGAGTGGTGTGTACGTAAATCTTTCATTTTTGTAATTGTGCATTTAAAAACGGGTATGTAAACATCAAATTAATAGTTGTCCTCCCTTGTAATATCTTCGATCTTAATTATAGAGATGAATCATGTCTGAATATGTTTAATAAATATAGGATTGGTGGTAGCAGGAAGAAGAAGGAATCAGGAATGGGTGAAACCAAAATTTCATTGCCTCTGATCGAGAGAATCCCCCCCCCCCCTCTCCCCCTGCAGCCTCTCTTCTCTTCGTGCAGCACCCAACTGGGTCTGCCTCACAGCCTTCTTCTGCGAAGCCTGGTTCACCTTCGTCTGGCTTCTCTACCTCAACGCCAAGTGGAATCCGGTGATCTACAAAGCATATCCCCATCGCCTACTCAGCCAGTAAGTAATCTATTTATATTTCAGATATATAAATTGTAATCATTAGGGAGCATTTACATGCATAATATTTGATATTTACACTTGATTTATGGATGAAAAGATGTATTTCATTTTTAGTATCATCATGTATTAAAGAATTGAGAGCTATGTAATGTTTAGATATTAGATATGTGAATAGGTAAGAATTATGAGGGATATATGTGAATGCCTTTTATGTTTATTAACCGTTCCATTTGCCCCCTCAAATTTTCTTATTACCAAAATTCATATCATTATAACTTGATTTTCTACGTGATATCATCAAATGATATATGTGGTTCAAGAGAGACAAATGATCAATGCAGAATAGTTTTTTAGTGAAAAAACTAAATTAGTTAATGTTTTTTTTGGGGCGATTACATACACGCTACCCAAAACATTCCTCTTTACACCCTCTTTTCATCCAATTTTCAAATTCTCACTCAAATATCAAAGGTCATGATAAAACACCAATTCGTATTTTTCATTTTTATTAAATTCACAATAATTTGATCATGACACGCATAAATGAATCATTTTTATAATTTGAAAAATCGCCTGCATGCTCCATTTGTAAATAGTAATGTTTTCTATGCTCTTGTCTGAATGTAATTATTCCTTTTTTTGGGAAAAATTATTAAATACGGATGCATATAGTGTCAGATCTTCACTGACCATCACAACAAGGGACCCTATTTAAAATTTTTTTTAAAAAAAAATTTTGTTATGATGGACGGTGAAGATCGACACCGTATGCATCTCTGCTTACGATGTTTATATAGAATATTTTTTTTCCTTTTTTGGGAGTGACATATCACATTTTTCATATCACCAGAAAGTCCCTCCCTTCCAACACCCATCGAGACCGTAGTTTTTGTATGATGTTTTTGGAGTAGTAGCTTTCAAACGAGGCTTTAACCTCACATGTATCAGATAAAGGAAATGTTCGTTTTGCCAAATGACAGCTTGCGTGTCTCCTTTGGCAGTATAAATGACAAATTTAAAATAATTAGTTTCAACAAGGACTACCGAGACGTCTGCTTTTCAAATGATACCAGACGATCTATTTAGGGTAAAAATATATTCTGTACCGGTGACTAATTTTATTACTCATCTTAGCTTTTATTTGTAAACATCTTAATAATTTAGTTGTATTTATTTGGCAAGGTCGTGTATTTTTTCAGGAACAAAATTAAATATAATTGTATAATTTTGAAAATACAGATTTGGTTTGAATGAACTTCCAGCCGTTGACTTATTTGTTACGACGGCGGACCCTGATTTGGAGCCACCAATCATCACGGTGAACACAGTATTGTCGTTGTTGGCTGCCGACTATCCGGCAAACCGTCTAGCCTGTTATATATCTGACGACGGTGGTTCGCCGATCACATACTACTCTCTCACTGAGGCTTCGAAGTTTGCCAGTCGTTGGATTCCGTTCTGTAGGAAATATGATGTCAAAATTCGTGCTCCATTCATGTATTTCTCTGAAGACCCTAACCAATCATCGCTTGGTCTATCTTTGGATTTCCTAAGAGATTGGAAGGCCATCAAGGTAATTTTCTTTATTATTTTTTTTAAGTCATATATTTTTTAGATTAAGGCATGCATTAGTACTCATCCAAATTAAATGTTATCATACAAAATGCTATTCATAATTGAGAAAAAATGAAGGAAAATTAATAGCATAAATTAATTAAAACTTTAAAGATGAAAAGATATATATATATATGTGTGTGTTATATATATTCATCAGCGTTCACTCCCTTCTGACTGTGATGATTTTCTATATATTTCCTGTGCTCTATTTATTGTGGTGTGATTTATGGACAAATAAGAATTCACCCATAAGGATAAAAACTAATTATGATAAAATAAAATATTGTAGAAAGACTATGGAGAGCATAAACATGGATACCATATTTATGTATAAAAAAATTGCAAATAATTCATTCAATATTGCAGAATGATTATGAGGAGCTCAAGCAAAGGATAGAAAATGTGGGGAAAAGCCATTTGCCACCTCATAGAGGAGATGATTATGTTGAGTTCTCTAACATTGAGAGAGGAAACCATCAAAGCATTGTGAAGGTAATTTACTAATTTTCTAATATTTTTTATATGCTCTCATGAATTTTACTTTTTTTTTTTTCTTAAGTTTGGGTTATTAATACGTGTTATTTATTTTTCAGTTTTTGTTCAGACATGAATTGTATGAATTTCTTTAGCAAACTAATAATAAAATAGTTGATATTATAATTATAAAAGCAGACAAAGTGGTCAAATATAAAGAAAAGAAATATCAAAAGGTAAATCTTGTCATAACCACTCAATTTCTAATATGATACATCCTAAAAGGAGATAGAATTGGATGAAATTCTAATAACATGTGGAACCTTCACATGATTATTTTTTCCCCTTAGCAAGGACACCTACCAATAATGAGTAGAAGCAAATTCCTCCAATCAAATATCACCATTAGATGTAGTAAGAATAATAGGAATAATGTTGAGTTGTAAATATAATAACCCTTGAGCATTGGTAGATTCAATAGAAATGATGATGTATATAATGTCCCGAGAATACAAAGAAGCAATAGGAAGCAAAACAACTTCCAAGGAGCAATTAACATTTCCTTACTGATCACAACTGATGGTAGTAGTCTCTTGAGTTTTTTGAATTCGGAAAGATACCATCAGCTGAAGAAAACTTTCAATAAGAGGACTCTTATTAGTAGAAATAATTAACCCAAAATCATAAACCACCATTAAAATTCTGATGATGAGAAACATGTTGAAAACTAATGATTGAGCATAAATCATTAAAATATTAAGCTCTTCAACTTTATTTTTAAGAGAAAGTTCAAAAATAATTGAAGATGGAGGAAAATATGCCTCCATATTAATTTGGATAATTAGTGTAGACTCTATCTAATTAATGGAGTCTCTTCATAATTTGTGGTATTTGGATGTTGCAATTGAGGGTTTTTGACAAATTACTTTCTTTCAAATATAAGTATCATGCCCAAACATGAGATTGTGAGAGCAAAAAATTGGTACTTTCTTAAATTTGAAAAGCACGTTTATTGTGAGAATCCAAATAGTGTTTTAATGAGTTTGGATATAATATTGCCTAAGATTTTATTAATTGATGGTCTAGAAGCAAAAGTATTGAGATATTATACCCGATGGGGATTGACGGATAAAGGACCAGCGAACTAAATAGATATATGAAACATATGTATTCCTAAATGCAAAAATTGGCCTAAATTCAATTAAGACAACAAGAAAAAACCACTTGTGATTTTTTTTTTTTTGTATTAAAGTTTATATATGCTTACATATACATAATTAAGTTTCTAAGTGTCAAGATTTATTTTTAGAGCTAAAGCAATGAATAAATCTCAATTTATGCTTTAATCAATGCCTTAAATTGTTTATTTTGAAGTTTTTTTTTTTTATGTCCTCATTTAATATTTAATTAATGTCTATTGAATCAATATATATTGTCTATTAAAAGACATTATTAACTTTATTTAATCATTTTGCAGATATTATGGGAGAACAAAGATGAGATAGATGGTATCTCACATTTGATATATGTATCTAGAGAAAAGAGGCCAAAACATCTACATCATTTCAAAGCTGGAGCCATGAATGTTTTGGTAAGTTTAAAAGTGCCATAGATCTTTGCAGACCTTTCACTTTCCTATATTTTCTTATATTTCATAAAATAGCTATTTAGATACATTTTTTTATATAAAAATTAGGATTATTTTTTCTTATTTGCTAGTACCACTATTATACTAATTATAAGATTTTGAAAATAAGGCTATCCATGTTACTTTAGATCATAATATTTGTGTTTTAGGTTTTGGTCTAATTAGACACATTTGTTGGCATAAAATTATATATTAAAAGGTTTAAAATTTAACTAAATGCTTTGATAAGCTTATGAAGGATGAAATATACTATAATTAAACAAAAAATTATAACTTAAATGAGTATCTCATAGTAATGATTCAATCATGATATCATTACGATGTCATTACAAACCTAACCTCATAGCAAACCACGTCAAGCTTTTATATATCTATCTATAAAAACCACCATATAACTAGAACTCTTCACAAACATTGAATAAATTGGTATATCGATCTAACAGTTCATTTATTAATCATATGATTCAATTAATGTGGCGTAGCCATATCATTGTACTTGCATGCCAATTACATCAGAAGAATTATATAAAATACAAGTGATGATAAGATCGAGTATAAATTCAAAGGATGATGTGACATCAAGCAACAAATACATGCATTTTAAGATAATTTTTTTTTTCTCTGGTGATATGATTGATGCGTGCTAGAAAATTTGCGGCGGTAGAGTAACAAATTATTGTCTTAACGTTGTACGAGAATTCAGCACACATACAGATGAAAGAGAAACATACAGTAGTGACATCAGAGATTTTTACGTGGAAAACCCTTAAATGGAAAAACAACGGGGTCTGGCCCAGTTACAAAAATCCACTATGAATGATGATTATACAGATTCATCCTTCTCTTAAATTAGAAAAGATGGAATTACAAAGTTGTATAACTATAATCTGACTACGGTTCTTGGTGATAGCAGATTGCAAGGCTCACTGTTGATTGTTGTAGAGGTAGTAGTCCGTCGTGAGTATTGTAGATGGTTGCTCCAGAAGCGTTGATTGACTAAAGAAACTGTAGTAAACAATTGTGGCGGTTATGGACCACATAGGCCGTAGTGGCGAGTATAAATGACGCCCGTAGGCCGCGATGGCAAAAGTCGGGAGCTGCACGAGCTGTGGACCATGTAAGTCGTAGATGCGAGTATAAATGGTATTTGTAGGCCGCGGGGGCCGGAGTCAGGAGCTACATGAGTTGTGAACCACGTAAGCCATTGGGCGAGTATGAATGACATCCGTAGGCCGCGAGGGCAGGAGTCGGGAGCGCGAACAACGAGCTTTTTTGACAGCCCTATTGTTGATACATGGACCGTAGTGATGAGTTTTGTCCCACATACGAGAAATAATTATCAGATTTTTCAGGTTATAACATTGTCGACTGACGGTGTGTGGTTGATATTAATTGACGATGGTGGTTAGCGGTGGACGACAGAGGTTGGAGGGGTCGACAACGGTTAACGTAGTCAACGACGGTCGGTGGTTGATAATAGTCGGTGGTTGTCGAGGGAGGTCGGCGGTGGTCGACAGCGGTCGGTGGTGATGCTGAGCTGCAGCTTCTCCTTAAAGCCTCAGGCTCTCTCCAGGCTTCCGTTCTCTCTGATGTGAGGAGTAGGACTCTATTTATAGTATTTTGGGTGCAATTAATGCACTAATATGAATTATTTTGATCGGACGGTTCAGAAAATTTCCTAGAATCATACAGTGTTTAATGGACATTTTGTCTTAATGATATCAGAATTGAGTGATCTTGGTCTCATTTGATTTTTTTTTGTCGAGACGCTCGATTTTAGTATAGTCTTAGTAGTGTCGACATCTGTTTGACCTTTCAAATGTATCTTAAAATCTTCTAAGAGTGGTTTAATGACTTGATCTGGGCTCGATTTCACTCGGATTAGACTAGTTTTTAAATCATTAGGTCCGTCTCATCAAGCCGGTCAGTTTGACTATAAGTTTGCTGAAATTGGAGCTCTGGATGATTTTTTATCAAGATTTGAATATTTCTTATTCAAAATATTGTCTTGAGATCCGTGTCATGTCTTGAGATTCGTGTCAGATGATGAAAATTTGTTGATGGCGTATCAGTTGCCCTTTTATTTCTGGGCGAAATCATTTTTTTCGTCCGAAAATATCAAGGTTCAAGGCATTTGTGTCATGTATATATATTATTTTATTACTACTGCTATAACAATATTTTTTTGTCCTTATATGTTAATAAGTTGAACTGCTTGGTTCCTTCTGCTTCATAAGGGAGTGTCAGAGTTCAAATCTTAGCTTAGACTGAAATAATAAAAATTATTGGGGAGGTGGAAAGGTGGGATTCGAGGTAATGGGAAAATGCATCAATTTTTTTTTTGGAATACGAAAACTTTTTATTTTTTTTTAATGCTTGCACTTATTTTTACATTTATATATTAGTGTGCATTTAATGGTCAAGGCTCTTTTTGAGCCTATAACTAGGCCTAAAGAAGAGGGGGTAGAGTTGTGGCAGTGCGTCGTGACGGTGCATTGCGGCGGTGCGACTTGGCGACGTGACGCGACACATTGTGGCTATGCATCAAGGCGATGTGTTGCAGCAGGGTATTGCAGCGACGCGACGCATTGAGGCAGGGAGTTGCAACGTCGTGACGCGTTGCGGCGATGCATCGCGGTGTCGCTTTGCGGCGGAGTGTCGGGGCAGAGCATTGCGGCGGAGCGTTGCAGCAGTACGTCGTTGCGGCAGTGCGTTGTGAGGACGTGAAGCGTTACGTCGGTGCGTTGCAGCGCCGCGTTGTGGTGGTGCGTTGCGGCAACGCGTTGCAGCATTACGACAATTTGTGACGGTGCGTCGCAGCTACGTGTTCTGACAATGCGTTGCGATGACGTGACCCATTGTGGGATGTGTCGCTGCGACGAGTTTCAGCATGACAATGCATTGGGTCGATGTGTCGCGATGACGCGTTGCGTTGGAGCGGCGTAGTAATGTGTTATGGCGGAGCATCGTGGCGGGGCAACGCGATGACATGACACATTGCGGCGGAGCGTGGCAGCAGGCGTCGTAGTGATGTGTTGCATTGTCATAGTGCGTCATGGCTATGCATCGCGGTGATGCATTTCAGCAGAGTGTCGTGGTAGTGCGTTGCAGCGACATGTTGCGGCGGGGCGTCACGGCGATGCGATGCATTGCTGCAGGGCATTGCAACAATGCATTGAGGCGGAGCGTAGTGGTGTTACGAAGTAGAGGCGGAGCGTAGTGGTGATACGAAGTATTGCGACGGTGTGTCATAATGATCCATCATGACGAATTGTTGCAAAGAGTTGCAATGAAGGATTGTGACACAGAGTTAAGGTGAAAAATTGTTGCGCATAGTTTAGATGAAGAATTGTGGAGTAGAGTTGAGGTGAAGAATTGATGAGTAGAGTTGAGGTAAAGAATTGCAGAGTAGAATTGTGATGAAAAGTGGCAAAAAAGAGCTACGACGAAAAAGAAAGTTGTCTCTGCCTTGTGTAACTGGAGAACAACAAAATCTTCTTTCTCGTTGCGGCGAAGAGGAAAGTTCTCCACGTCCTGCATAGCAGGCGAGCAACAATACCTTCTTTCTTGTTGGGGCTAAGAGGAAAGTCATCTCCGTTCTGTGTAGCAGGCGAGTAACGGATCTTCTTTCTCATTGCGGCGAATAGGAAAGTCGTCTCCGGCCTACGTAGCAGGCAAGCAACCACATCTTCTTTCTCGTTGGTGTTGTGCATTCCGTAGCAGATTCCAGTGTCGCTCTTGCATATTTCTTTAAGAAATGTTGTAGTTTCTCCGCTTCACTTTGAGGGGAAGATTTTCATGCTCATGTGGTGGTGATATCTGGAGACCCCCTAACGATCATTAGAAGTACAGGGTTTTGGGGAGGCGATGTCAACTCTACTCGAAAATGAGCAGATTTGTTGTAACTCTTGTATAAGTATATGCTTGTCTTTGTAGCATTTTTTATCATCTGATGTGACAGTTGTAGATAATGATAATGTATTTCTTTGTTTATTCCACGGTTGTTGTGGCTTCTTAATTGTGCAAAATTCTGCAATTAAAGTTAACACACAAATTTTTAGGAAGAATCGTGTACCTTTTGCTATTCATGCCTTCTTAGGTTGTGCCCTTTCAGATCAATGTCATATAGGAGCTTGAACTGGTAACTTCTAAGGCTCATAGCCTTCCGAGGTTTTTCAGTGAAGACCCTCTTGGGTTCATCTTCCAGCAAAATGGTAGCTTCTTACAAGTCTTGCCTTCTGGGCTTGATTTCTAGAGGAATGGTGGAAAGGAAAATCCATTGAGGATGTAAGACAAGTTCTGAGTTGTATAACAGGTGATGCTTGATGGCATAAACCCGTAACAAAGCTATATGAAATCCACTGAGGATGGGTGACTTATCCTAGGTTGTTGGTCGAAGCTTTTGCTTGACGACCGTAACCTGTTATGGAAGAGGTCGAAGGAAATCCACCAAAGATTTTTGACGTATCTGAGGTTGTGTGTCGAAGCTTTTGCTTGATGACTGTAGCCTGTAATGGATGATGTCAAATCAAGTCCCCCTGGGATCGATTAAGCCTAAAATAAGGTGTCAGAGATGCTCTACATTTCTCGAGACTAAGGGTAGATCGCAATGGACCATATGTTTCTTTTGGAAATATGTTTGCAGTCATACTCAAGAAAAATGTTTGACAACTTATTAGTTGCTGCTTTTGAATCTTTTTGCTCCCTAGCGTGGGCACTTTCCATGTGAGCTTGCAAAACAACCCATGTATCGGGCTTTAAAGTGATCAACTTCTTTATCTAATAGAAGAAGAATACTAGTACGATGAGGGGGTGTTAAGGAAGTTTTATTTGCGGTGAAGATTGCCCCCCAGTACAGGTACGATGAGGGGGTGTTGAGGAAGTGTTATTTGCGGTGAAGATTGCCTCCCAGTACAACCCCCAGTACAGGAGTGATTCTCTTA